CAAATCTATTTACTAAAATAAAGAGTTCAGATCCGACACTCTACGGGATTAAAAGACATTTACTAGGTTTGAATTGTCCCAACCAATGAACGAAATTTAATTATGACAGCGTCAGTAATATCTTCCAATTAGGTAGTAAGAAAGCCTTCAGCCCGCAGACTGTCCATCGTTCAACTCTTAATACCGTCTCCGAGGAGACGGTAATAAAAAGTAATCAAACAGAACTCAAACTATAGGAGATGTGGAATAAACTTCAATTTGACAGCAACCAAACGACAAAAACGCCATAGGTAAATCAGATATGTCTTTGAGTAAAAGCCAATTTCTATTGTTTCACTGTTTTTATTTCAAATAGCGCAATTAAACAATCACTTTTTCCAAATATATTTTTTCTAACAAAGCATCAAAGAAAAGATCAACAGCCCTTTTATCATTACTACTTAGCAACAAGGAAACATAATTTACCAGTTAAAGATTGGTTGGATCAATTTTCAAGGTGATCAGACATTACACAAGAAGAGCGCGTGCCCCGTAAAAATGTTAACTTGTATTTGTAGTATTTGTATTTTTATCCATCTGATGAGTTAAGCCTCTTTCAACTGATTTTTATAGTTCGTTCTTATGTTGTAGTTACACCACTGTCCCAGGTTAGGGGGAGGGTTGGGATCCCGCTAACATGTTTAACTCCACATTCTGTATGTATGTGCCTGTCCCAAGTCAGGAACTTGTAATTCAGTGGTTGTCGTTTGTTTATGTGTTACATATTTGTTTTTTGTTCATTTTTTGTACATAAATTAGGCCGTTAGTTTTCTCGTTTGAATTGTTTTACATTGTCATTTCCGGGCCTTTTATAGCTGACTGTGCAGTATGGACTTTGCTCATTGTTGAAGGCCGTACGGTGACCTATAGTTGTTAATTTCTGTGTCATTTGGTCTCTTGTGGAGAGTTGTCTCATTGGCAATCATACCACATCTTCTTTTTTATGATAACTTTTAAATCTCTTAAGATTTTCGAACCAACTTTGAACATATTTTTTTACATTATAATAATCAATCTTAATTTACAATCTTGGTGCATATTTAACCTTTCCATTCATATCCTTAGTTCAGACGACATAGTACTATTGGCAGAAAGTGCTGATGATTTACAGAAACAGCTGGATTCTTTCAGTGAATACTGTAATATTTGGAAGCTTAAAGTTAACTAAAGTGATGATTTTTTGTAGAGGCAGAATGCCGTCAAATTTACATTTTTAAATAGCTATAGACGGCACTGACATTGAAAATATTAAAAGAATTCAACTATTTGGGCATATTATTATCTAGAACTGGTAATACTAAAATAGCACAGAAACACCTAGCAGAAAAAGCCACACAAGCTATGTTTAAGGTGTTGAAATCAGGCCGCATACATAATCTTTCCACTCAGTGTCACTTAGATCTTTTCTATAAAGTTGTGAAACTCATACTTTTGTATGGATGTGAAATTTGGGGCATTATGATGTTGAAATTATAGAAAGAATCCATCAGAAATTCTGTAAACTTCTTTTGAAACTGAAAATTCCACACCTAGCTATATGGTATACGGAGAACTTGGTAGATATCCTTTAAATTAAAAATAGTATCTTATTGGTGTAAATTAGTATCTGCTAAAGAGACTAAGTTATCTTCTATCGCATATACACTATTAAAAACACTATTTACTGTTAATAATGTATGTACATTTTTTGTGAGTGAAGATAAAAATATATTGGATGAATGTGGTTTTTCAAATATTTGGATTTCTCAATGTTTTGGTAATGATATATGATTAAAAAATGCACTAAAGTTGCGATTACAAGACCAATACAAACAGTTGTGGAATACACAATTTCAAGAGTCTACATAATCAGTAAATTATAGAATTTTTAAGTTAGAATTAAATTTTGAAAAAAAATATTTTGATATGTTGGATATGCACGAAAGTATTATTTTATGTAGATATAGAACCACAAACTACAGACTCTCAATAGAGACAGGGAGGTGGAATAATGTTAATAGAAATGAGAGAAAATGTCATCTTTGTAATATTGGTAGCATTGGAGACGAATTTCATTATCTGCTAGAATGTCCATTTTTTAACGACAGTAGAAAATTATACCTTGATAAGTACTATTTGGCTTATGTTAATACACTAAAGTTTAGAAAATTGATGAGCAAATTAAACAAAAATATAGAGCTAAAAAGATTATGTAAGTTTATAAAGTTTATAAATAAACATGTGGGTCTTCCTAGCTAAAATGTATATTATTTGGAAACCACTGTATTGTATATATGTTTTGTAAATAGATGCATATTCATGTACATATTTTGCACTCTCTCTGTACCTATGTATCTGCAATGGTTATGGGAATAAAGATATTGGTATTGGTTTATATGAACTCGTCAAGCTTCGGTGGATTCAATCAACACTATGATAACTGGACACATTATACAAAAGTCGGCGCGTGCCATGTAAAATGTTAATAACTCTTTCATTTCTAAATACATTTACACCAAAATTTAAATATATGCTCTTTATTTACAACATTATCATACTGAATGACCTTGGTACTTATATGACTGTTCCATCATGGGCTTAGTGCAGTTTTCAGAGCTTAGTGCACCAAGGTGGCCTAGGTGGTGTTTAGACGTACCGGGTAAATCAGTCTTCAACAAGAAACAGGGGCGTGTTTTTTTGTTCTTCGGTAGTGAGCCAGAAGAGGTCCATTTCTGTTTTTTTGCATAGGGAAGATCTTCTGGCCCTCTTCCACCTCTTCGTTTTTGATAGGTAGTTTAGACGGCAGAGGCACATAACAAACATGGCGTCGTTTAGTCTAAATGACATTAATAAATTTATGAATGCAGATATATTGGAATGTGAGCTGTGTTATTAACGTTTTTATGGTATGACAGTCTTAATAGGACATCCCTGTATGACGGTAAGCTGGATAAATATAAGAACTACACGGACAATTAAAAGTTAAGGGACGACTATTTGATATTCTAGGGAAGGGATTTTGATTGATTGGTGTTTAACGCTACTTTCATCACTAAGTTGGGCTATTCCGTGGTGGTCAGTTTAAATTTATAAAGGGCATTATTAACATTTTTAATCTGTCGCTTATTATGCATATTTTTCAGCTCTTAATTACCAGCCCACCCCACTAAATGAATGAATATCAAATGGATTTTCTTCTTATTTAACACAAGTTTAATTGGTTGATTGTTTGTTGCTAATTATTAACGCCCAGTGACAAATATGTCATGCATGTTCAGGACTCGGTTCAAAACACGAGTTTAAAAGTCAGGTAAATAAATAAAAACGAAGAAATGTATGATTGCTAATGAGGCAACTATCCACCGGAGTTCAAATATGAAGTGGATGTAAGCAATTATAGACAACCGTAATTAAGGCCTTCAACAATGACAAAACCCGATACTGTCAAAAGGCCCGACGTGAAAAGTGTGAGAAACAATTCAAACGAGAAAACTTATATTGTAATTTTTTTATAATTAAAATGTATCATCCACATGAAGGGGCGTAACTCCTAATATCATTCTGACACACTAAACGGATCTTAACCCGATCTGAAAATTTTGAACATTACTTTTTATATTTGGTCTGAATTCGTCTAAAACCGTCTTAACATATCTTGATTAACAGCTAGAGCCTTCTGTCTTGTTTATCTTGACATGAATGAACGGACTGAACACGACATATCTGAACAGCGTCTGAAAGTCTTAAAAAGTCTTAACGTTTTTCCCTAGCGGTAAATTCAGTTGATTCAGACTTGATCAGACCAAAATGACCGTTTCAGACTGAAATCTTGCTACTAGTGGAAACAAGAATAACATTCACAAAATAAATCACTAATTAAGCACATTGACGTTCTATTTTCAATACAGACATGACAGTAACCAAACTCTCCAAGTGAATCATGTGTAATGCAAGGGATTATTTTAACATGCCATATGCGCGAAACCCACAAGTTAGTTTCAACCTAAGCAGGCGCTTTAATAGAACTGATAAAACAAAAAGGTTAAGCTCAAGCTTGTAAATAACAAAAGGACAAAAACAAAGTATATGTTTAAGAACACAACATTCCGTCTGTGCCTGTCCCAAGTTAGGAGCCTGTTATTAAGTGCTTATCGTTGGTTTCTATGTCATATTTTATTCGATTATTGTTATTGAATAAATCTTAAAATTGCTAATATATAATCTTTTTTTTTCGTTTAAATTGAAATAAATTTTGTCACGTCGGGTTTTTATATAGCTCTCTAAACGGTATGGATTTTGTTCATTTGCATCGTGCTCCCTATAGATGCTTATAACATCCATATCATTTAGGATTTAGCAGATAGTTTCTTCATTGGCATTCAAACCGCATCTTTTATTTTTATATATGTTAAAAAGACACGTCCAGTTTATTTACTCGATTCAAGATAATAGTTAATTTAACTATTTTGTTTTGGTGAAGAAACACTCAAACATAAAAAAAAACCCGATTATTTATTGCTGCAACTGAGGTGTGTGCAGCGACTGCATAGGGAATATGTACCTTTTGGTTGATACGATTTTAAAGAGCTTGTCTTTCCTGGTCGTACACATATTGGAAAACATAATGGTTCCTACTATCGTAAGCGGAGAAATAAATACAATTTAAAACATAGTTATTATATCATGTTATCATTTTCCTTTCAATAAACATGAAAAAGCAGGCTAGAGTTTTGTGCAAAATCAGTTAAAGATATTGCGAGTATATGCTACCGGTATTCATCCTTTTCCATCAATCGTGGCAAAAAGAAACAAACTATTCCATTGAAAAATTCCCGTTTACAATAAAACGTACATTAATTGTATCGACGGTTGTTTGTGTATAAGGTATACCCATTAATATCATTGAAATCAAAAACATATATTACATAATTTAAACAGAATGCAACTTTTGCTTGAAATAGAATTTAACAAAATAGACATACCTTAGTGAACAGTATAAACAATGTGGGTTTTAAATCCAAAGCTACATAATATAGATACGAATCGAGCTACAAATGTAGGACAGCTCTCTTTTTTCTATTCAGTTTAATCATTGAAGGGAAAATTCGTTGTCTATTCATCAAAACGTCATATAAATTTTAAAAATGGAGTTTGAGGATACAATAAGGATTCGTTTAGGATTTTGAACAACAAACAATATTGTTTTAGATAGTTCTTTTAGTTTTCTGCATTTTAAAATACTGGTTTCTACGAATATTTAGTTATCAAAATATGTACATGATGTATCTTATATAAAAAAAATTAGAAACTACTGTTTAGATCGTTATGTAAATCTATAATGGGTGAACTTTTTAACTTGGAATATTTTCAGAAAACTAATGTTTTGTTTTTGCCTTTTTATCGCTTCCATGGCCGATGAGGCAAGGTGAACTATCGTCCATCTATATACTTTACGCCCGGCGTTCGTCCGTCGTTGTCCTAAATTCATCTTTTTTTAACACACTTTCATAAATGGTTTAATCCAAACTAAAAAAAAAAAAAATCCTATTTTTATTTTTTTATATCTCGTAGCTAATGCGTCTTTAATAATAATGAGAATCATATGTATTTTTTTTTTGTGGAGAACATGGCTGTTAGAGGCAATCTTTGATTCAGATTCGGTAATTGTAAACAATGTTCTTCTCTTTTACTACAGGGTAACTTGCTCTTAAACTTTGAGGATATATGAAACCTAAGTATCTATAACCGAATTTGTCAAACTATTATCAGTAAAATCATAATTTCCCTTAAATCAATGGATTGATTAAACATACCAATGGATCGGAACCTCTGCTGATGGACTTTTGGTTCCTTAGGGTAGTATCCGCCCATTAAAATATTGTTTTGGTATAAGCATTATTAACTTGATTGATTGATTGTTGGTTGTTTGATGTCCAGTGGATGAATAATTTGATAATTTTGTTTGTAAATTTCAATCACATAGTATCATGTAATTATATTTCAACTTGCTGTAAATTCCCTGGAGAAAAGTTACCTAAACGGTGTAGTTTATCTTATTGCGACCTACTGGTTTTTTGCTTTCAAAACTGTTAGTAACATTCGTACAAGATGATAGCCTGAAAATTAAAGCAGAAACTTTTGAAAGATAATTTTTCAGTTAAAAACATCGCCTATACAGCGGAAAGTGAAGTTAAAGGATTCTGCTAAATATTTGCATTCTTCTTCAATAGACTCTGTATGACGCATATTAATGACGAATACGCTTACTTGTGATTTTTCCATTTGTATGTTTCTGGATTCAAATAAAACCTGCATATTGAGTATGTATCTCCAAGTTGATACACAGAAAAAGTGTCGTAAAGTCATCATTGACACGTTGTTTTTGTTTTACCGCCAACCTTGTTGCAGAGAAGAAAACGATTAAAAAAAATTGTATTTCTTTTTTTAATGTAGGGTTCAGTTCATATACTAAATAAATATAGTTCTTTGATACACATTTATCTAATATTAATCAGAATAAACATTCATAACCAAACCAAACATGTTTATTGAAAGTAAAATAATGCATTTGTTTGGTATATCTTTCGATGCATGACTAAACAAAACCAGTATGTAAAATGTAAAATATAAATCAACAGCGTTACAAGGTTAATATATGTTTTTTCTAAAATTCCTTTAATATTATTCAAAGTTAATTTTTGTAGATGCAATTCACATGATTTCGTTAAATTTCGGATATCTTTAAGAAATGAATATGAAAGGGATCTCTACTTCTATAACATAGTATACCTTTATTTAGATGAACCAAAGTTTCAGAACTTACGATTCCCGTGGGTGACAGGGGAATAGAAATATGGTCACTTTGGTCTTTTTCCGATCGGGAGAAAATCCTTGATAAAGTGGGGCGTCCGTTTGGCTGTGTGTGATGTACAAGTAAACAGCCACGTCTGGTCAGAATGGGGACGTTAAATCCGATGTATCGTGTAAAGATAATGGTGCCACGCTCTCTGCACAGTAAGAACCCTTGCAACAACTATTTGAGTGGTTCGTATCTATCTGTTCCTATCCAATATACTTTCATTTTCCAGTGGCAGTCCAAATTTTCTGCACCAGATGCACATTTCGAAAATGAATTGTCTCTTCAGAGATGCTTGAAGCCAACAAAATTGAAATTCCATGATGAAGAGATTATAAACCAAAAAAGGACAAAACGTATAGCCAAAACCGGCCATAGTATCAGAGCTTTGCAGTAGGAAGATATATTCTATAATTGTAAATCTTTTATAACAGCAAATTTTATTAACAATATCCGTAATTTCATGCCAGTAACGAAGTACTGGCTACTGGGCTGGTGGTACCCTCAGGGACAAACAGTCCACCAGCAGAGGTATCGACTCAGTGGTGGTTTTTAACATTGACAGTACCAATGTTGCTGCATTGCAGTTGATTGTGGCCAAGTTTGATTAAATTTGGCCTAGTAGTTTCAGAGAAGATTTTTGTAAAAGTTAACTGACGCCGACGACGGACGCCAAAGGATGAGAAAATTGTTGAATAATAAATAACCAAAAAATTGTTTCCCAGTATCGTGTACACAAGGGTCAAGTGTCGGGTTAACAAATATTAGTTTTAGAATTGTACATGCTTGGATTAAATTTTAAAATAGAACTATAAATCTTGCTTAAAAGATGATTTTTGATTTCGTCGTGTTTATAACATCAAGCTGAAATGTTCAAAAGTGTAATGTTGGATAAAAAGAGCATTCTTTTATAAAAAATAAAGTAGAAAAAACAGACACAATCTAATAGTGAAAGACCTACAAAGTTTATAAAATCAACAATATTTTTCTAATGACCATACTCTATTATGAAGAGATTAAAAGTACACTGTTTCGATATTTCAAATAATTCATTATTTTTATTTTTTAACAATCTTTAGTGCAAATTTTCTCATGATATGCCAGACTAGAGAGTCTCTTGAATTGTTTTCCTCATTTGAAACATATAAGAAATCTACCATTATGAATGGCGTTGGTGTGTTTTTTGAGAGAACATTTAGACAAAAGAACCAGATTGCATAATGGACACTCATAGGTGGACGAGGTCTCATCCTTGCGTCAATAGCACGTATTTTGATGATTCAACAAAGATTTGTTGTATTGAAAAGTAGCGTTACAAACAAAACATATTTCCTTTAGTGCAGCATCATGAGAACTCTCCACTAAATTTGAGCATCTTGATGTTTCACCAAAGGTTTGTTGTATTGAAAAGTAGCGTTAAAAACAAAACATATTTCCTTTAGTGCAGCATCTTGAGAACTCTCCACTAAATTTGAGCATCTTGATGTTTCACCAAAGGTTTGTTGTATTGAAAAGTAGCGTTAAAAACAAAACATATTTCCTTTAGTGCAGCATCTTGAGAACTCTCCACTAAATTTGAGCATCTTGATGTTTCACCAAAGGTTTGTTGTATTGAAAAGTAGCGTTACAAACAAAACATTTTTCCTTTAGTGCAGCATCTTGAGAACTCTCCACTAAATTTGAGCATCTTGATGTTTCACCAAAGGTTTGTTGTATTGAAAAGTAGCGTTACAAACAAAACATATTTTCTTTAGTGCAGCATCTTGAGAACTCTCCACTAAATTTGAGCATCTTAACCTCCGGTGATTCGTCATTAACTAATGATGAAAATGAAAGAATTTTAAAGAATGTATATGAATTTATTAAAGAGTCAAAGAGGTTTCTGGTTGTATAATATAGCACAATAAAGTGCATATATATATGTATATTGTGTACAACCATTCACATCATCACACATCATCTTTTTTACATATCAAATATATATAATGTATTGTATTGTTTGCATGAATGCTTTGTTCATATTTTATTGCTATAAATTGTTCATGGGAGAACACTTTATAAGTCCTTAGTTTGATTAGCTTGTGTTTCATCCTTTTTGCATATGTAAGCAAAAAATATATATTTAAACTAATCATGAGAGGCATTTTTACTCGTGTAATTGTGTTGTAAACCCTATCCGACAAACGTAAACGTTGTACTAAACTATATGCAGACAAATTCCGTACTTGGATTTGTCTTATTTCATACATATGATTCTGTTTCGGATTTGTCTTCATTTCCAGGGGTAGGACGGCCCTAATGATGTGGCGTTTCAGATTGTGTTGGTAACGGGTGGACAATTGGCAAACATTGCAACTAAATTCTTTTATATTTTCACTCTATACTTCAATTCTGACAAGAGATTCGGCAAGCAATCGGATTTCGAATGATTCATCAATATCTTATTTCTGAAAATCGAAAGAATTGAAACATTAATTTTAATTGTTTAATATTTTATTAAATCAACTTTTCAATATGTAGGTACAATATTTTGAGTCTCAAGAAGATTGTGAATTATAAAATAACATTACCATTTGGTTAACCAAGCTTAAATGTCCAAATGTTTTGTATTTGAGGGCTAGCAATTTCACCAGACAATGGAAAAACAAATATTTCAAAATGTTTATGTCGATAAAATGTTTTACTCGAAGTAGTTGTAAAAACATTTCTGAAGGTTTGGCGTAGTAGTTAAGGACTAGAAAACTAGACTAATAACCTCTGCATTCTGTGTCTCGCCTTCAGTGACATTTGTTGTATGCAGGACAAATATATCGGGATGAACCTCAACGGTTATGGCAATATGAATAAGAGGAGATCCGTTGAAAAAGTACCGAAAGCTCTCAACCAAACACCTTTATTAAACATTTTTGATGAAAATAAAAAGTCAATGCACCTTAAAAATTTCTAATTTTCTAAGCCAGTTTTGTCATTTTTCACAAACAATCAGTGTGTCGATTTTAATTTTCCTTTGTTTTTTACAGCTTTTGTTTAAACATTGTATCAAGTTTGGGTATTTGAGGGCTCGCAAACATGTTTAATCCCTTCATGTTCTGTATCTGCCTGTCCCTATGTCAGCAGCCTATAGTTCAGTGGTTGCCATTGGTAAATGTCTGTCGTAATTGTTTTCCGTTTAACTTTTTGTACCTTAATCAGGTCGTTGG